GGCAGGTAATTAGAGTTAGATCTGAAGATCAGCCATGATCTTATCGAATGGCAGGGCAGGCTCGAGGGGCTGAATGGCCTACTCCTGCTCCTAATTCTTATATTCTTATGTTAGAATCTGAATGTTGATCAGCCAAGAGATGCTGAGGTACATTCAAAGTAATTCCATAAGTCCAACACATGGCAGGATAGGGAGGCACCAATGGGATCAACCCATAGTTATTTACTGTCGAGTAACTCCACACACATCAGAGAAAATTCTCCACCTGCTCATGAAATCCAAGCATCCTTTATAAAGTATCTAACAGTAATGCCAACCACAGGAAGAAATATGATTTGGGACGTTTGTGCTTCAGGCATTTCAAAGAATTGGTTTTGTGTTGAAGCATGGAAGCTGTGAGTTTGAAGAAAGAGTGACATCTCCCTATTTTGTCAAAGTCTAGAAAATCTGAACCGGTATCCTACTGTGCAATAAATTATAATTTCCTGAGTACACTAACTTTCTTATCAATAATGGCCAGGCCTGTTTCTTGTTACTCCTCCAGGGCTATCCTTTCTCAAGGATGTTAAAGTAAGTATCGAATGTTATTCTTTGAAAACTGATGCCTGGTTGGAGGAAAATATGATAAGAGGTGATGTACCATCTGCACAAAGACTTGTGTCTAAAAAGGAGAAATTTATAGCCAAGAGCTGAACTAGATGAAATTTTAAAAATGTTTTAGTTGAAGGACCATTGCCCATTGCAACTGCTTTCCAAAGCTTATGCCCTTTTACAGCAGCCTGTAGCATACTTTAGCCAACATTCACCAATTGTACAATCATCACTAATTCTCAACACATAAAAGAAACATGGAGTAAAGTAAGAATGGTCTGCAGCTCACTTATTAATAAGGCTGAATTCAGATTTTTACACTGACAGTAAAATTAGCCTGATAAGTATTTCAGTGATGTTATGTCCATTATTTTTTCATGCAACTGACATATGACCACATAGGAATGTTATATGACAAATATTTCAGGGTCTTTTGATTTGTCCAGACAATGAGGTCTGAAATTTTTCATTGTCATAACATTTAAGAACATGCAGATTTTTGCAATATTCTTAAATGTGTCTTAATTTGGAATGCATTTTCGAAAAAAAGACTTGCAAATTAGACTAAATTTAAAAGACTATGGTCTGTAAATATTTTAAAATGTTGTTATGGCTCATTAATTCTTTATGTCGTATCTGCATACAAGGGTATAGTGTGAACATTCATGTTCCACTTATATGGACCCATATAAGTCCACTTGTATTCCACTTATATAATAATCCTTGTATTTGATATAGCGCTTTTCACGTCTTCTCGATGTCTCAAAGCACTTCACAGAATATGCTGTAAAGTGAATTGACTGTATATCTGTGGGCGAAACGGGGCAGCCAATTGCGCACAGCAGTGACCCACAAACTGTCATGGATTGAAAATGACCAATTTATTATTGTTTTGTTTTGGAGGGATTATTATTACGTGTGTGGAGTAAGGAACCTTGCCCAAGGTTTCGCCCTGCCTGGAATTGAACCCAGGTGTCTCGCTTGCAAGGCAAACGCTCTAACCACTGAGCTACAGGACTCCACTATTATTATTATTATATAACTGGGACAGCATATTAATATGACCACTTGTTATGACCATTTTACCACTGGATAGTTATTAAACATCTCACACAGTAGCAAATAATTTTTCTTGTTAACAATTAACATGATGCTCATGATTTAAACTCAAATAGAGCACTTTAGAACTGTGTGCAAGGCAGTGCAAGCAGTTCGGCATTAGAAACAAGAATGATAGAATAATATTTTCAAGGCCAAGAACTCTATTATGTGTTCTTTACAATCTAAGGGAGGACTCCTTTTGAGAAAATGAATGACATCAGATGATTAGAACAAACTAAACTAGGTCTAGAAATGGGAAAATCGACATGTGAAAAAGCATTTTCATTGTCCCAGGATGAAGAGGTGCTTTAGAAATGAATAATTGGCACCTTCATTAATTAAGCATCCGCTTATGACACAATTTAAATTGGACTCAAATGTGAAGCCTACAAGGTTGTTTCTGATGTAAACATTGTCTCAGGTAGTTTCAGGGTTTCAACCAGTGCCAACCAATGAAATCCTCATGGCCTTTGAAATGGGCTACAACAAGGTGTGTTCTTGAACTAATGCTTTTTAACATTATGCAGCAGAAATGCGCACTATACCAAGAAAGTGATCTACACAAGAAAATGAACAAACTACTTGCTTACCAGGCTACCTGTTTTGGTATACTGAATAAAGTGCAAACAGCAGACCTGTGGATGATTAAAAACGTTTGAGGAAATAAATTTGTTGAAGATCCTGTGATTGCTTTCTGCATTGATAAAGGCTATGTATCAGCTTTGCATATTGGCCTGTGATACTCATACTTAACCATTGCAGAAGTAGCAACTTATCTTGGGGTAAAGGTTCACTGACTATGACCTATTGTCACCATTCCAGGGACTAGCTTCCAAGAATGCATCAAGACTTTTCTCTTAAACACCTAGCTAGCTGCCAAATCTGTTCTATCGTTTTTTAAAATCCCAATTCCCATGTTTTCTCCCTATCCTTTATTTCCCATATATTTTTCTACTTTCCTTTCAAACAACAACAACAACAACAAGATTCCATTTATAGAGGGCCTTTCACGTCGGAAGGACATCCCAAGGTGCTGGACAGTTGGGTCAGGACCCGAGCAGGGGGGAAATAGTCAGGGTGAGGGGAGGGAGGGAGTGAGGAGGGGGTAGAGAATCGAGAAGGGAGCTGAAGGCACGGTCAAAGAGAAAGGTCTTGAGACCGGCCTTGAAGGAGGAAAGGGAGGAAGCGAGGCGAAGGCACTGGGGGATAGAGTTCCAGAGCCTCGGGGCTGAGAGGCTGAAGGCCCGGCCACCGATGGTAGGGCGGTTGGAGCGGGGGATGTGGAGCAGCCCGGAGCCAGAGGAACGGAGGGTATGGGCAGGTAGGTAGGGGGATAGTAGGTCAGAGAAGTAGGAGGGAGCAAGGCCGTGAATGGCCTTGTAGATGAGGATAAGGATCTTGAATTCGATACATCACCACCACTACTGCACTTAGGGTCCTCTGGGGCTATATATTCCACATTCTCCATTTGTTATGAAGAAATGTTGTCTGATCTCATTTCTAATTGGTACTCTTAATAATAATGCCTTTATTCACCTGGCTCATTTGGTAACACTCTTGCCTCTGTGTCAGAAGGTTGTGGGTTCAAGCCCTATGGCAGGATTTGGAACCTATACAGTCTAAGTTGACTCCAATACAGTGCTGTGGGTGTGCCGAGGTGTTGGTCAGAGGTGTTGTGTTTCGGATGAGATGTTAAACCAAGATCCTGTTTGCCTGTTCAATTGGAAGTTAAAGATCCCTTGGCACTATTCAAAAAAAGAAGGGAGTTTCTCCTGGTGTCCCGGGCAGCCGTGGATGGAGTCAGTCATTTGCTCCATGGCTGTTTGTAGGAAATTGTTGTGCATAAATTGGCTGCCACATTCAGTCACAAAATGCGGTATATAAAATCACACCACTTTCCAATAAATCCTGTGAAGCCCTTTAAGATGTTTCAATGACATGATAAGGTGCTATATCAAATGCAAGGATTTATATTTTTATTATTATTCTCCACATCACAAGAACACAAGATTAGTTAGATGAAGAAGGCCTTTCAGGTTATCTGATCACACCACTCCAGAATCCCCGCGTTTCTGTACTCCCATCACAGTACTAAGCTGATTTTTAAATGCATCCAGTGTCCTGGCCTCAACACCTTTCCTGGCAATCAGTCCTCTTCTTGTATATACACCTGCCTGCCTTGTACGGGGTAGGTGTGGTAGGTGCTACCACACCTATAACATTGATGTACAATTCAAACTAATTATTCTGTTCTATCTCCGCCATTTCTCTCAAACATTCCCATTCAGCATTGAGGTGGAATAAAATTATATTTCTGGAGTTTTGGAAGGTTTAACTTGGTCCTTTCATCCAGCAAGCCCATAACCCTGCTGTTGGTATTTAATATTTCTTCCGCATGAAGTGACTATATTGAAAACTGACATTCAGAATTGGGAGAAACTTTTGTGCATCAGGAGATTAGAAGAAGTTTTTTCCCCAAATGCCAGAATACCAGAAATCAATCTAATGGCCTGTGAATGTATTACAGATATTCATCCTCTCATTGTTCACTGTTGGCTAAATCCAGCCATGATGATGTATAATAAAAATAATAATCCTTGCATTTGGTATAACGTCAGGAGGAATAATTCACAGGTTTTTACTGTAGAGTGCAGTGACTGTGTGATTTGTGGGCGAATGCGGCAGCCATGTCTCATCCAAAGGATGGTATCTCCAACAATGGAGCCAGGCTCACACTATCTATGACTGACTGACACTCAGGTGAAATTGTAGATACTCTGAACAGAATAGCCCAGAATAATGACTGATCCGTTTTCAAAATGGTGGTGCGAAAGAACTTTATAAAACAGGTAAAGTAGACATTAGATGGTTAGAAAGTTTATACCATAATGTTTTGGAACTTGTGGCTACAGTAGCAGGATGTGGTAGAGCAGGTAATGAACTACTTGTATGTGGTGTCTCTTATTTGTAAGAAATATCAATAGCTACTTTGATTATCATAGAATCATAGAATTATACAGCACAGAAGGAGGCCATTCGGCCCATCATGTCTGTGCGGCTCTTTGAAAAGAGCTAGAGAGAGACAGAGAGAGAGTCGGAGAGACAGAGAGAGATAGAGAGAGAGAAGTGACAGAGAGAGAGAGAGTGACACAGAGAAGAGTCGGGATCGTGCAGCAGTAACGAGAGAGGATGGATGTTGCGAGGAGGTGATGCTCCAGGAAGGACGAGCTTCCCTTAGAGAGAGAGAGAGTGAGTGAGGAGACGCTCTGTGCAGTGTGAGTGTGAGTGAGTGAGTGAGTGCACCGCTCTCTCTCTCTCTCTCTCTCTCTCCTCACACCGGGACTGCCCTCCTCTCTCAGCCCCTCTGACAGTCACACTCCAGACGGCCGCGGTGATGCCCGAGTTGTTACCGCCTCCCCGGAGGCTGCCCGGAGCCGGAGCCGGAGCCGGACCCTCGCCCTCGGCTCTGTCCTGCTATTGCCTCCCCCTCCTCGCTCTGCTCACCCTCAACAGCCTCCCGGGGGCTCGGGCCGCCAACCCGCTCTCCAGCGCCGAGTGCCAGAACGGCAGAGGCAAAGGGACCAGTTGTTCAGGTGGGTGAGAACACACAAAGAAGCCCCTTCCCCTTCTCACTCCCACCCTCCTCACTCCCCTCCCCTCCTCACCCCCTCCCCTCCTCACTCCCTCCCCTCCTCACTCCCCTCCTCACTCCCCTCCTCACTCCCCTCCTCACTCCCTCCTCACCCCTCCCCTCCTCACTCCCACCCTCCTCACTCCCCCCCTCCTCACCCCCTCCCCTCCTCACTCCCACCCTCCTCACTCCCCTCCCCTCCTCCCCCCTCCTCCCACCCCTCCCCTCCTCCTCCCCTCCTCACCCCCTCCTCCTCCCCCTCCTCCCCCCTCCTCACCCTCCCTCCTCACCCCCTCCTCACTCCTCCCCTCCTCCCCCCCCTCCCCCCTCCTCACCTCCCCTCCTCACCCCCTCCTCACTCCCTCCTCACTCCCTCCTCACTCCCCTCCCCTCCTCCCCCTCCTCACCCCCTCCCCTCCTCCTCCCCCCTCCTCACTCCCCTCCCCTCCTCCCCCCTCCTCACCCCCTCCCCTCCTCCCCCCCTCCTCACTCCCCTCCTCCCCTCCTCCCCCTCCTCACTCCCCTCCTCCTCCCCCCCTCCCAGCTGTAATGGACAACATCTGGTGCGGGAGAACAAAGAGTGGGGGCGTTCAGTGAAAGGTTCAGCTGATGGCTCTGACTTTCTCATTGTCTTTTTCTCTGCAAAGGGAACAGCCAGAGAGCCACAGACAGACAGGCAGACAGAGAGCCAGAGACAGACCGACAGACAGACAGACAGACAGACAGACAGAGAGCCAGAGACAGACAGACAGACAGACAGAGAGCCACAGACAGACAGACAGACAGACAGAGAGCCAGAGACAGACAGACAGAGAGCCAGAGACAGACAGACAGACAGACAGACAGACAGAGAGCCAGAGACAGACAGACAGACAGCCAGAGAGCCACAGACAGAGAGCCAGAGACAGACAGACAGACAGACAGACAGACAGACAGACAGACAGACAGACAGACAGACAGAGAGCCAGAGACAGACAGACAGACAGACAGACAGACAGAGAGCCACAGACAGACAGACAGACAGAGAGCCACAGACAGACAGACAGACAGCCAGAGACAGACAGACAGAGAGCCAGAGACAGACAGACAGACAGACAGACAGACAGAGAGCCACAGACAGACAGACAGACAGAGAGCCACAGACAGACAGACAGAGAGTGGGGCAGACTGGGGGGGCTTTGCTGGCTATGACAGATTGGATGTAGCATTTGGGGGCTTTGATGTTGCCGATGTGCATTAATATGCTCTTTGAATGGATGTTGCACAGGGGAGTGTAGCAGGTGCATTAACACCGCCTGGAGAATACACCCCCACCATCCCCACCCCCACCATCCCCAAACCCTCCCTTTGGCCAGCAATAAGATTGAGAGCCGGAGCATTCCCTTAGGATTTCACGTGACCTTCACGATTAAAAATGTAACAAAAGGCTTTTTTTTCTTTTTGCCTTTTTAATAAAAGAGGCAAAAGGAAAGGCTGGAAGCGTTGCGGTGGATTGGTGGGGTCAGAAATCTCACCCCAAACCACTGAGGGTTTTGTGTGTGTGTGTGTGTGTGTGCTGTGTGTGTGTGTGTGTAGTAATCTTCAGTAAATCATCGCTGCGATCTGCAGTGAAAAAAACCCCTTTTGACTTTTTGCCGTTTGATTCTTGTAGGTCAGTGTTACACGGGAGGCGAGTGAAGCCAATAGTGAGAGGGAAGCAGCTCACAATCACACTTACACTCCCCCGTTGTTAACTCACCCCTCACCCCCCGTCTGGGTCAGGGTTTCAGGCAAAGCCGAACGAGTTTCAGTCCTGTCGGTATCACGCTGCAAATGTGAACGATATACATTCACCCCGTTTTGTATTTTGCCTCTTATTTTGAACCACAGCATTAAAGCACAATGTATATATAGATATATATATATCTATATATATTTTTGCACGCGATCTACACTGAGGTGCAATCCTCTGCGGCTCCTGTTAGTGTGTGCGATGAGCTGCTGTCCTACTGTATAAAAAACTAGTGTATGAAAAAGCTTCAGATTGCAAAGATTTCCACAAGTCATTTCGTGTCATTGTTTAGACAAGTGAGTCCCAAATACTACACTGAATGCTTTGGAATGGGTTCGGTGTTACTGTGGTTCTACAATACTGTATGCACTGTATTTTGGAAGGCAATATGTTGAGGTTTTCAAGTACTGGATATAAAAGTAAGCAGTTTAAGTGTGCAGCGTGTAAATAGGCATTCATGCAGCTGTAACTGCTAATGAGTTTTATAACTTTTCTACCCGCTGTTTAGACAAGCACATATCCAATCTATGTATAATTTTAGTGCAGGATTATGATTCCCTTGCACCGTTTACAATGGTAATACTGTAATTACTGCCCTCAGCTCCAAACCACTACAGCATTCATTACCATTCAAAAGCAATGGTTGTTTTGGGCAAGTCAAGCAGTTATCAAACACTAATGCTGTTGTGGCAGACAAAGGGGTGACTTGTGGAGAAGAACTGATCTCAGTTAGAGAAGCTCTAGTAAAACCCCTTCCATATCTTTTCTTTTCCCCTCAAATCGACTGCTGATTTGAACCTTCATTTCCCGACATGATAGTTCATGTTTCATTTCACTCTTGGTGGCAGATTACTTTTTCCCCCAGCTACCTGACTGCACCAGGACCCTTATCCGAAACTGACTGTAATAATCATAATAATAATTCTTGCATTTGACATAGCGCTTTTCATGTCTTCTAGACGTCTCAAAGCGCTTCACAGAATATACTGTAAAGGGAATTGACTGTATGTTTGTGGGTGAAACGCGGCAGCCAATTGCACACAGCAGTGTCCCACAAACAGTCGTGGATTGAAGTGACCAATTTATTATTGTTTTTTTCTTGAGGGATTATTATCAGGCGTGTGGAGTAAGGAAACTTGCCCAAGGTTTTGCCCTGCTAGGAATCAAACCCAGGTCTCTTGCTTGCACAACAAGCTCTAACCACTGAGCTACAGGACTCCCATCAAATATAAGAAATCATCCTGTGAAGCCACTGATAATTTTAAACTTTTAAATGGACAAATATTGCAGATAAATTTAACATTTTTATGACTCCTGTCAGTATTTTGGTATTGAGTATTTGTCACAGGTATTTGAGTATTTGTGCACCCCTCCTCTCTGGAAATCTTCCAAAAATCTATTAGATTTGCTAACTATCTGCCATTAATAATTATTTATTTTTCCAAATATCATCTTTTTACCTGCGCTATAGGTCAAAACCGTTAATTCTTCCTTCTTTCTTACTATAATATCACAGGCTCATTGAACCATTTATTCTATGTAAAAGGTATTATATAAGTGCAAGCTGTTGTTGTAGATTAGTAATCTTTAAAACCTGTGATGATAAATAAAACATTTGCTTTAATAATAGGAGAATCAGTTGAATTTCAATTTGCATTCAGTTGCTAAATTAAATTGACAGGTGTAAATAAGCCATATTTTTCACTTTTTGTGGACGGCAATCCTTATCTGGCATAATAATTTTTTAAGAAACTAGTGATGGACTTTCGGTATTTCAGCTGAGCTTTCACATATTAAGAGGTTTCTGTATGCTACACTGGTTTTGTGTAGCACTAATGATGTAGCTTTCTGATCTGACTTGAAAAACCTGGGGGGCATTGACACAGGCAAGAGTATACACCACATGAATGTTCACCAATTATCAATGTGCTTTTCATGTAGTCTTTTATGGCAAAAATGTGTTTCTCTGTTTAAATACAGTATCTTACAGAAAAACAATCACAGTGCAGGGTTTCATAAAATTGGTCCAACAACACATAATTAGGCATTTCTGAGTATTAAGTTAGGACTTCATCATATGGCGTATTATAGTAGGACTATTTTTTGATAATCTGTGCATAGCATATGCATAGTATTACACATCTTGATAAATCAAGTGGATAGGATTATTACTTACAAGCCTTAACTTTATCTGGGACATCAGCAAATAGTAGACCATAACCTACCTCTAAGAATGGTGCTTTGCAGTGGAGATCTGTGAATCTACATAACATAATAGGTAACAATTATATATTTTTACCTATGTATAATTCCCCTGCGCAGTAACAAACAGCACACAAGAGCAAAATACCTTTAACATTGAGGTTGACATGCTGACTTCTTCCAATAGCATCAAACTCTTAACTTTCCAGGAAACTGCGAAATTCCATATCTTATATATATCGTCCAAAACACTGCAATACGTGGTGAATGACACATCACTGAAGTAGATGATTATTAACATAATTCAATGTACGCCAAATCTTACTGACTTCCCACTAAATGAAGTGAAACACTGCTGCTAGTACAGTGTCGAATGATATAAAGGCCATAAGCTAAACTCAGAACATATCAGATGCTGTTTGGAATTTCAGATAAGGTTCTGGCTCCTAACACACTCCTGGCCAAACATTATTCTATACTGTATTTAACTATTTTGATTTTTTGTTTTATATCTTTGTACAATGTACAAAACAGATGTCAGGCAGAGTTTCTCTTCATTAGTGGGATGTCAGCAAGCTTTGGCGTACATTGCTAATAAACATCTACTTCAGTGATACATCATTCACCACGTATTGCAGTAGAGCTCCCGTGTAATCAATTCTGACAAGAGCAAATCCCGCTTAAGATAAAACTATGTACAAACCAATCATTCCAATGTTACAGATAATATTAACCATATGCGGTTAGTGTTGTTTAAGTTTAATCCTTTCAATGCTACTAATATTGATGCACTTATCAATCCAATCCTTACTTCTCATTATAAAATAGCATTTTGTTACCCTACATATTGGGCTTGAAAATGCGGTTTTAAGTTAGAGATCCTTTCAGTAGAATTGATATGATCTAGACTTGGAGAGTGAGCTTCCCCAACTCTATTCCCAATACTGCGATTTGTGACACTGCGTAGCCCATTTCATCATAACTTCAGC